TATTTTGTCACTGTGATTGATATTACCAAATAAATTGAAATTATAATTCATTTATTTTTAACTAGAATACGGCGTTATTGTAAACTGTTTTAGATTAAAGTGCTACGTCCGTCCATTTAAATATTTATGATTTTATTATAAGCAGGATTATATTTTATATGTAATATTCTGCAGACTGACAAGTAATAGTTAGTTTATTTTTTATTTAGGATAATAACTGACTATAATCAATTTTAATTCTATTCACACTAATTCATTAACCGACTTTACCTGATTTTTTCATATTGTATTTGTATGCGTAACTAACTGTCCGTAAAATAGGTAAATTGTTGCCATTAATATTTATTAAATAAGTTTTTTTCAAATGTAATTATCCAAATAATGTTGATAATCTATGGCCGGCAATAATCGGAGATTCTCAAACTTTATTCAATAAAAAGTAAGTCAAGAGACAAGACACTATTTTTTTAACTATTGCTTTCCTATATTTTGTTTGGATATGTTCTCTTATCTCGAAACGTATGTAAGATATTTTTAAAGTATTTAAGATTCATTTTAGTGTTAAAGAAACAATAAACGATGTTTAACTTCCTAATGGCTTTTACTTTAATATTAACTAATAAATTAAATAAATTGGTGAATTAATTTTTATAACATAAACTTTCATCTCTTCAATGTGTTAAATCAGTACGGCCATGACTTGGCAGTTTTGATTCTTGTTTAAATTAGTTTTTTTTATTTATAATGCTCAAAATCAGGATACGTGTAATAGTAAGTAAAAATCAATCTAAATGTAGCTTCTTACTTTTATAAAAATAATACTATCTGAAGTTGTTTGAAGGTTGGCATTATGATATTTTTAGGTTATTTCTTAATATACGTCGTCCGTTATAACCTAAGCGTTCATCTTGTTGATATGGTCCAAATGTCGAAGAGAGAGATCGAAAGAATAACATTGAAAAGTGGGAGAAACGAGTCTATTCGTAAAGCTTTTGATTCAAGAAAAGGGGTCAGTTTTAATATCTCTTTATAATTTACTTAATAGAAACGCCTACGTTATTTTTAATACAATTTTTTTCGACAGACAATTTTAGACGTGATGTTTTGGGATGAAATTAAAATGGCACAACTTTTTTCCGCTTACCATATTGGTTATTGCATTTGTTTTCCTATATTTCATAACATCGGCGATAGGTGAGTTAAAAAACCTCTGTGTTATCTAGATTTACACGAACCTTAGAACTAAAATTAACTTCTTAATTTAAATTTTGGAATACGAAAAATCATACTTCATACTAATATTACAAATTTAAAAGTTTAGATGGATGTTTTTTAGAGTTTGTAGCCTAAACTACTGAACGGATATCGATAAAATTTGGCATAGATGTAGAGGTTAGGCTGGAAAAACACATTGGCTACATACTTTTGTTCTTTTTTATTATCACGCGGACAGAGTTGCGGGCGAAAGCTAGTAATAAATAATATAAAATATTTAATTCTCAGAATTGGACCTACATGGGTGGTGGGCATAGCCGGTATGGTGTCAGGTATTTTGAATTGTCTCACTCCAGCATCAGCTTATCACCATTTCTGGTCGTTCTTTCTTGTTCGTGTCATAAAAGGATTTTGTGCGGTTAGTTCACTAATATTTTTAAGAGTCGAAATACACCATACAGGATCACGTGCATTTCTATGAGTATGAAGTTTCCGGTTATAATGTTTAGGGTGCAATGTTACCAAGCATGGTTCAAGTGCTGAGACATTGGGTGCCGCCATTCGAAAGAAACCATTTTATGTGGGCGTACTGTGGTGAGATTTTTTAATTTAATTTAAAAATGTTACTAAAAGTTTCAAAGCAAATATCAATAAACAACACTAAAAGTGTTTAAACACATTGAAATAAGTACTAAGTACAGTTAGGGATGTTGTAGGTCCTTAATGACAGTCAGGAAAAGATTTTATTGGTCATACTCGTGACATTTGCCTTATTTATACGGAACAAAATCAAATTAAAAGTTATGAAGCTCCCATGGTTCATTTTAGCGACAGGTAGACTCACAGTGTGAAGAAAAACACATTTTATTCTAAGGTTAACTATAGTTTATTTCTACAAAAGGAATAACAACCGGTACATGTTCAACATTCCTGATATGTGCCGCTGTACATTTCTACTCTCGATGGCCTGTGGGCTTCTACGTGTGTGGCGCGATGCAGATATTGTGGTCAACTGCATGGGTCTTTGCCGTCAGTGACTCGCCGAGAAAACATCCTTGTATAACTGATGAGGAATTGGAATATTTGTCGAGTACAATCGGTAATGTGTTTACGATTAAGGTAAGGTTACTTTTTATAGTGTGTTTATGTAGAAAACGTGTACTCTCTACTTTTGGAATCAGTACCGGTTTTAGCGCGATTAGCGCCCTGGACGATATTTCTACGACGCCCCCTTTTACTAGCTCTTTTGTAGGGAAATTAAAATGGCGCCCTGGGCTTTCGCCCAGACAAGTCCTACGCTATTACCAGCACTATTTGTAATGTTGATATG